GCGGTTTGGGGTCGTGACAGAATGGTATCAGAGCACAAGTTCCTTAGTATACGTTATTCACACACTTTGAGTCCTAAAGGGCATAGGGTTTCCCCTTAGAAGGATGTTAGGATTGCATCATATTGCTTGCTATGTGAACAAAGTGTGCATCGTCTCAGCATGCTTAATTGTTACTTGCCTGCGTGTTTATTTGTTCATTTTGTTTTAAAGTCACATTTTGCATACTCATAGCATCATGAGGAGAGGTAGACCTCCAGTTGGCCGAGATCAGTCCGAGGACAGATTAGACAGACTGAAAAGGTTAGTTGAAGGTTTGGCCCGCGACTTTTAAGAAGGTAATCCAACAACATAAAAAGCAAAAATAATTCTTTGCACATACAATGATCCCAAAATTATACCCACGATACAGTTGTGATGCAAGATGACACCCTCATACTTCAATCACTTTGCTATTTTTTGCACAACTTTCCATCTATATACATGCTTCCAAACACCCACTATTCAACCACCTCTCCCCCTCCCTCCCTCTCTGAAATTTGTTGATTTCATGAGTTTCAGTTATATAGACACGGACGACATGTGACACGACACAAATAGGTCGACACAAACATTTAAAAAAAATATAGGATGCAACACATGGGAGATACATGTAAACTATATAATTTTATTTTTATTTTTCCTTTTTAATGATATAGACTCCATTTTTAAACTGGTTATACTTACTGTGACATGTTGATTATTGTTTTGTAGTTATTATCTTTGGAAAGAAGATGGGACCAATAGAAGTCAGCTTGGAAGTTTGTGGGTGCATAAAAAGGAATTTGAATGTGTCATTATGTCTTTACATACCGACATTATGGCTTTAAGTTTTTGTTTTTATTTTTCTGAACCTAGTGAGAGATTGTGTTTTGGTACTTTATTAAGGCCATGTTATGACAATTTTATTATTTCTTGAAATTTATGGTGATGAGTTATTTTTCAATGACGATACTGTTTTGTATGTGATGGATGAAAATATGTTTGTTGCATTTACAGGATTTAGGTTTTCAATATTGGTGTTGGAATGGATTTTTATTATATTTATAAATACTAGATGATAGCATTTAAAATTGCTATCATAATGAGGAATTTATAGCATTAAAAAAATGTTATCAAAAAGTTTGTTGGCATGCTTTATTATAACATTCTTAGTTAGTTATGATATAGTAAATTGTAACATTACTAGATTGCTATAAAAGCAATTTCATAGCATTAACAAACTGTTATCCACTGATTTTGGTTTCCCTCACTCACAGACTGCATGTCTTGCTTATTCATGTGCCTATAAAATGAGCAAACTTGAGAAAAACAGTCAATTTGTGCTACCATCACTCAACCCACATATTAGTAAACTCCCATCTCTCATTCCAAGATGCTGTGGGTACTACAGTTGCATGGCCAGCTGACAAAGTTGTTATGGGGCAGTGATCACTTCTACAGGTTAGTAATTTTTTAAAGATTAAAAAAATTACTCTTCATGAACAATGTACATCTTATTATTTTCATTTCTATTTTTTCCACCTTGAGAAATGTATTTGTAAGGAATCTAGAAATGTTTTTTTTTTTTTTTTTTAATGAATAGACGGGTCAGCTACCGACACAATTCTCAATTCTACACATCAGATTCAAAACAACCAAACATTGATTATGAATGATGTTCTGTAAAATGAAATAGAGAAAACCAAGTTATAAATTCGAGCTAACTCTCAATAACAAGACCCAAGAAGAAAACATGTGGCAATCCATCCCATGGAATGAATTCAGTAAGAACAAATCTCGCAATTACATGCAGTGCACAAACTAAAAGGTTTCTTCTCATTCTTCTACAGCACTAGCAGCACTAAGATTCATGCTGAGGTCAAGAACCTACAGAGGAAAAAAAAAGCATGTAAATTAAATAAATAAATTATTAATTAATATTAAAACCCTTAAAAAATTCATTATGGATGATAGAGAGGGTGATGCCTTGGTTCATAGAGAGACAAGCATTTAGGTAGTAGGAATGAAGAAACAAGATAGACAGTTATTTGGAAATATGGTGACTGCCACTCTAAGAGATGCATCAACAAAAGAAATGATAACAATTGAACTTGGATACTAAATCTACAACACAGAATTACTAAATAATAGAGAGCTGTTATTTCCACAGCCCCCTTTTATCCTTTTCCAGACCATTTGAGAGGGCACCCAATGTGTGAGGAGAGATGTGGAAATGGGCGGTCAAACTAACTCTGTATTTATACAATATCTAGAACATAGGATAGAATCATCCAAGATTTCCTTGAAGCTGTTGCATGCAACCCAGAGAGTCATGGATTTATTTAAGAAGGTAATCCAACAACATAAAAAGCAAAAATAATTCTTTGCACATACAATGATCCCAAAATTATACCCACGATACAGTTGTGATGCAAGATGACACCCTCATACTTCAATCACTTTGCTATTTTTTGCACAACTTTCCATCTATATACATGCTTCCAAACACCCACTATTCAACCACCTCTCCCCCTCCCTCCCTCTCTGAAATTTGTTGATTTCATGAGTTTCAGTTATATATTGATTTCATGAGTTTCAGTTATATAGACACGGACGACATGTGACACGACACAAATAGGTCGACACAAACATTTAAAAAAAATGTAGGATGCAACACATGGGAGATACATGTAAACTATATAATTTTATGAAATTATTATGTCATAAATATTAATATTTAAGTCCAAGGAAACAATTTTCGAAGTCCAAAGGAGTAGAATAATTATAAATTTACATTATTTTTGATTATTCATTGGATTCTAAGTAATTTAATTCAAACTTGTAATGTGTTTCATGTTTGTCTGAGCAATAGACAGGTGCTCTCAAAGTGTTTGAAGCGTGTCCGAGTCTAGAAAATTTTTAAAATAGTTGGCCATGTTTGAAGGAAAAAGAGTGGGTCAGCAGGGTCCCAAAGAAATTGGCTTATTCAAAAATGTCCAATAGGTGTTGGGAAGTGTCCGCCGAGTGTCGTGTCATATTGGTCTCAGACATGCCATGCCACTCCACTTTATTAGAAATATTTCTGCTTCTTAGGCTAGAGGTTAAGTAAATAATAATTAGTTTTAAAGGTTAAGGAAACAGCTAGGGTTTGAAGCATTCTTGATTCTTTTTTATAACGGAACCATGCTCTACAAACATCAAAGAATAAAAACTAAACCAAAATTAGCTACTTGTTAAATGAAGCTGATAATTAACATCATAATTTCATGAAAGAAACATAAAAGAACAACAGATGGGACAGGAATGGTAGAGGAGCTAGTCTAGTAATGCACTATTCAACAACAGTAAGGTGTAAAAAAACAAAAAGCATGAATTTTTCCTCACTTGTATGTAGCCGACCCCACTTGATTGGGACAAAAGGCTTATAACTTGGTTTGGTTTGGTTTTGACATAGAAAATGGAAAAACTTGTTACTGTCATTCTCATCATTCAAAATTTTGACATAGAAAATGAAAAAAATTGTTACAACCATTCTCATCCTTGAAAATTTGAGGAAGATTAGTTTCAACTGGATTGGTGTTGTATGTATAAGGAGACGGGGAGTCAGTCAATCATTTATTGCTTTATTGCAAAGTGGCCTCAGATAATTGGAGCTTAATTCTCTGTCTTTGGTGTCACTTGGGTTATGCTGGGTGGGTAAAGAACCTCTTTGATTCTTGGCATAGGGGTTGCCCGAGTCGGGTTAGTTGGAAGGCTTGGTAGGTAGCTCCGTTGTGCGTTTTGTGGCGCAATTGTAGATCATTTGAAGGGAGGGAGAATTCCATTAATTCCTTGAAAGGATCAATGCTCGCACAACTGTATTTTTGTCTCAAGGGGGCTGCCCCTTTCTTTATACTATTTTGTGGATTTTATTTTTTTATTTTTGGTGATTTGTACATGCTTGTTGATATATAGGTCTTTGTCTTGTTTGGTTTTGCTTTGCATTTTTTTTGTTTATTTTTTATTTTTGGTGATTTGTGCATGCTTGTTGGTTGTGGTCCTTCGCCATCTTTCATAGTTACATTTACTTATAATAATAATAAATGCACTACCCAACTTTATGTTGTAAATAAAGAGTTGCACGGTCATAGAAATGCCAGGACTCAAAAGCTTCGTTGGATTTCTAGAATTGTATTTTTAACAGGTGAAAGACACCTGCACATTGATGAATAGGGTTAGGTAAACTAAAAACAATTCAATAAACCACTCTAATTGATAAGTCAAAAACAATGGGAATGATCAAGATGTTGAAATATAACTACATAACTACGGACAAAAATAGACACTCGTGCCTTTTTTTTAAAGAACACACCAATCATCCAATCAAGAAATATCTATATAAGAGCAAGCACGAAGCTTTATAATGCTAGATGTGTTCAGATTTTCAAGTGAGACTCACAAAAAGCACCCAAAAAATCTTATGCTATTGCTAAAAAGCGAACTGAATAAAAGAAGCATACACAAAATGATATAATAATCAAATTTAAATTGTTATCCTCGGAATGAAAATTGGCATTAAGAAATCCAACATGACAAACCTCAAACACTCTTTGTACCAAGCAATGGAAGAACGAGTGTGTCTCGAATTTCGATAAAGCTTGCCTATTATTGGATTCCTTTGCAAATTTCTTGCTTTGTTAGGAATTCCCTCCACCTGTAAAATAAAGGAGCCAAGCATATTCTTATATTCTTAAAATGAAAGAAACTAAAAATGAATAAAACCACGTAGAAAGACCACATAACAAACCCAAGTTGCTCAAAACACTCATCCTAGAACATACAATGTAATTGTAACATTACATGGATAACATGAACATTTACACAAAAGTGACAAACAATACAGCAAGTTCCTTAGCTACTGGATGAAAAGTGTAATCTAAGGTCTTCCTGATAACAATAACTCCCCCAAATTATGATGACATTTGACAAATAAAGGGAGCAAGGAATGGACGGCAGAGAGAGTGAGTGTCAAAGACTATATCAATTAGCAACAAAATGCAAAATTTATACATAAACTACACATTCATATACTAAAATATAACCTCACCAAAAGTGACTTAACAAATTGATTAAAGAAACACGAATGCAAACAGAGAGTATGAAGATGGAACCTCAACAAGAGAAGCTCTATTCTCATTCAGTGAACAGTGACAAGATGCAATTTTGAACTTCACCTGCACCAAAGATGTGAGAGTAAATTGTTTATGAAATGACTAACCTTAAATATCCAAGATTTATAAACAAAACTTGTTATGACCCAAATATGTCAAAAAAGGAAAAGAACAAGTAGGGGAGCATGTCAAACTACCTCATTTTCATTAATCCCCAAATTATTAAAAGAATTTGGAGAAGACGATCTGTTTGACATAGGCAATGAATTTCTAGTAATTGTACTTTGTTTGGGAACAATCTTGCAATGTTGTAGCGCTTGCTTGTATGTATGCTGTCATAATACAAAAAGATATGATGACATGCTATGTTTGAATATCTTTGTTCACATGGAAAGAGGGGAGGGATAAATTAGCACTATTTAATGAAATATGTTCTTTTCAACTTAAAAGGCACTTCTGCCCAAGGAAGGAGTGGATGATGGTGAGAGAGGGCATAAAAAATAAAAATAAAAACCGTAGCAGTGGAAAAGTATAGCAGATAAAAGAGATGAATCACAAATTAAATGGGGAAAAAATAGTAGCTAGTCGTGTTGGCATATAGTAAGTAACATTCAAAAGGAACAGAAGATGCCCAAGCCATTCTGTGACATGACAAACATAAATTGGAGCTCATGATCTTCCAACAACATAAAATCATGTTTTGAAATTAATTTTACCCTTTGGTTTGTCCATCTAAAGAACTGTCATACAAACTTAGATTACAAATGTTATGTGTTTTGAATTTTCAACAAAAAATAAAACTATTGCAGAGGCCAAACAAGTGAAATACCCATAACAAGGGCACCTATATTGAAAGCCAATCAAGCAATATCAAACAATAAATTATTTCGACAATACCCAATATCAAAATTTAAAATAATTGAAGCCCCTGGAAAAATTATCACTAGATGTGATTTATTTATTCATTCATCAAAATTGTTTTTAATAATAATTTTACTGTGACCAACATTATATTTTATTTTACTAACAAAAAGAACTCTGTTGAACTTTCGAAGATCAAGATCCCCTCTTCCTCCTATATAACATAATAACAAATTTTATCTTCACATCAAAAACCAGAAAACAAAAACCAGAGTGAGAGAGAGATGGGGGTTTTGATTAAGCTAATAGATGCAGCTCTGTTATTCTTCTTCTTGGTGGTAATTTTAGCAGCTCCAGCTTTCGATGCACGAGTGTGCTTTCCTTCTAAGTTCTTCCCAAATTTCCTCGTTGACTTCAATCTCTGGTTCACAAGCGAGTACGGTGATTACTTGCTCATAGAAAAGCCTTCTTTCTTTGTTGGGCTTATATGGCTCGAGCTTCTCTTCCAGTGGCCACTTGCCATTGCAAATGTTTATGCTATTCTTGTGGGAGGGAAGCTCTGGTTCAATTCTACTTGCCTAGTCTATGGAGTCTCTGTTTTTACTAGAATGGTATTTTACTTTTTCTTTTCATTTCTTTGTTTAGTTCTCGGGAAAATTTTGTATAATTTATTGAATTGCAATTCAAGAGGTGCATTTCACACTCTCATTTTAGTCCTATTGTTTTGGCATAGTATGAAGGATAGCATTCGACTCCAAAAAAAAAAAAAAAAATTATTTCACAAATTTCACGAAATAGAATTGGTAAAGGAGATGTTATGTTTGAATTTTATGAAAAATGAAAGAGACATTAAAATATGTTTAGATTTTTTCACTTTATGTTCTTATTTTTTAGTTTATAAATTATGATCCAAACATTAGACCAAGTACACAAGACACATGATTTAAATTGACCTGGTTTGGTGATTGTTAGGTCCAAATTTGTCCCCATTTTATTGGTTCAGGGCTTAAATACATCAATTTGGTGGTATCCTAGAATGAAATACAATAATTTTAAATCTTATACTATTATTAGGCTAAAAAAATAAGGATATGGTCCAATAAATCTAAATTCACAATCTAATCTAAATTAAAGGGGCATTATAGATTATGTAAGTTGAATTTAATAATTTTGCTTCTAAAAGTGCCAGAAGAGTAATATTTTACTGGTATGTTCTTGTTATTGGTTTAGTTTTTATTTGATATGATAACTTGAGATTTTATTTAATGTTTTTTAATTTTTGTAATGATTTCTTTATGTCTTGATGATGAAAGTAAATTTAGTATATAATTTTAGTGATTATATATGCAAGTGGAATATAGGCAAGACTTTTAAGCAGAAACCACTATTTCCCTAGCTGTTTCAATTATGAAGATGTGAAAATGTATTTATCTGTGTTAAATTCCAATGACTTGCATGTAATAATTGGTAAAGCCAGATTTATGGCAAGCCATTTCTTTGAATTTTAAGCTCAAATGTATTTACTATATGATTTATATTATTTTACAGTGGCCTTGAACAAGGAACAAAGATATCATAATGTTGCATTTCAGCAGGTCCAAACTCCTACCAATAAGTGCATTGTGGTTATGGTTTTGCATAAATTTAAAAAATGGATAAGCCACTAATGCAGCTCAGTTTCTGGTGATTAAGGATTACTGATTACGAGCCTGTTCTGATTCCGGATGTATTCGGTTACAATCAAATCTTGCTTAAGGTTCAATTTTTTTTTTACAAATTAGAGGACATTGGTGAATGTAATAATGATTAATAAAGTAGATTTAGGAAACATTAGAGTCTGAAATTGGTGTTTGAATCTCTACTTGATTTTATTCATTCTTCAGGTTGTTGTATTAGCGGAGCTGATCTTGTCTTCCAGAATCACAAATGTGTTGATGTTTATGTAGATTTAGCCAACATTAGAGTCCGAAATTGGTGCTTGAATCTCTTCTTGATTTTATTCATGCTTCAGGTTGCTGTATTAGCAGAGCTGATCTTGTCTTCCAGAATCACGAATGTGTTGATGATGATGTACTTACCTTTCCTGGGTTTTGCAATCTTAGCTATTCTGCGCGGCTTGTTACCATACTCTCGCCAGAAACACCGGAGTCCCTGCATTGGTAGGAAAAAGAGGGCTTGAGATGCAACTCGCAACCAAGATTTGGCACAACTGCCTTGCATTTCCAGAACTGCTCATGCTAGTTTCGATGTATGTCATGCAATGCTAGCTTGAAATTCTTAACAATTTTGTGATGAATAAGCTTTACTTGTTCTATGTTGTTATGCAAACACCAAAATTTTGGAAGTTGATTTTTTGAGGTGTGTTAGAAGTTTGTAGTATCATTTCTTCAGTAGGCAGTGGCATATCACAAAGTGGTCTCACTTGATACAAAATATTTCATAAATGATTTGTAAAGTTGTTTTGGATATATAGGTTGAAGTAAACTGACTTATATATTGTTTAATATATTATATAAATATATAACAATATAATAAAACATTAAATATATTTTTTTGGGGCTGAGAAGGGCTACACATTTGAATACATTCGGCCCATTTATTAAATGGGCCTAAAATATTGGTTCACCCTCGCCTTACGGGGCCAAACTAGCCTTTTCAAGTCCTAAAAAAATAGAGTTGGGTTGGGCGTGTTGGGCAAGCCAATAGGTCAATGCCCACTCTTATCTACGATGGTGTCTTTTTTTTTTTTTTTCAAACTATTTTAGAGTCAACCTAGTTTAAAAAATATATACGAAAAATTGTTTAAAAATCCATTGATGGGTGTGCACAGTATTAAGTCTAAGAATTTGTATGTTTGTTGGTGATAAGGACACGTTTATTAAATTATATTGGTGAGGACAAGGCGCGTGGCCAATTAAGTCATAGATTTGCCAGAAGGCTGTGCATAGTTTTAAAATCAGTTATTTAGAATGTGAGATTCACTGTTTGTGAATTTCATGTGATCCAATTCTGAGTTCAAAACCCTTCTTTAATTCATGTTTTGTGTTCTTGAGAGAAGTCTGTAAACAAAACAGTGCAAAAATCAATATATCAGGTGGCTCCATTTTTCCAAAAGGCATCCAATTTTTAAGTCAGATGCCTAAACATTGGAGGGAAATTTTTTATTTTTTATTTTTTATTTGTAAGAAATCGAATTAAAAAATATTTGTTAAAAGACAATAAGAATATACTATTTTAGCTATAGGGTTGCATAAGCACCCTGCCATTTAAGCATTGTTTGTTTGGGGGTTGACTTTGGGATTGGATATTAATTTAATAAATTACATAATTCAATCAAACATAATTAGAGTCTGGACTTCTAATCCACATGGACATGTGTTATCTTCCATATAGGAAGGGTGAGATGGGAGATTGAGGAGAAGTTTGGATTAATTTACTAAAATACAAAATTGGTAGAATTTTTTTTAATCCTTGTAAGCTTGGGTAAATCCAAATATAGGATAAGATACACAATTTAAAAGAATTGATAATCTCCAAATTAACCGCCCTCAAAATGTTGGGCAAGTTTGGCAATATACTAGCCTTCGTTTAGCTAACTTAGTTGGGTTAAAAAAACACAAAAGATAAAATAGACTAAATAAGCCAGTAAGACAAAATGTCATATCCAAACCATAATCATTTTATTTTTTCTCTCAGAAAAGTCAAAAAAGCCAAATCAAACGAACTTTTTAGTTCAAGCTAAAAAAGTTCAAACTCAAAAAAACTAACTAAAAAAGTCAATGCCAAACGGCGACTAAACTAGTCAAAAAGTTACTACTAAAAAATTAATTTTACTATTTATTTTTTTGCACATTTTTTCGTAAAAAGTTAAAAGTCATCTAAAATAGTTAATTTCCAAAACATCTACTTCAATCCATCTAAACAAACATAGAGAAATTATTTAATACTTTTAGACCCCGTTTGTTTTGGGATTAAATAGATGAGAGAGGATTAGGATGGAGGTGGGGTTATTTGGTGTTGTGGAGGGGATTAGGATAGAGGAGGTGATATAGATGGAGGTTGGAAGGGGGATTGAGATGGAAGAGGTGGAGATGGTATTAGAAAAATAGTGAGGGGATTAGAAATTTTTTTATTTTTTTTTATTTTTTATATATTGGAATTTTTTTTTAAAATATTAATGTTTAATTTTTTATATTTTTTTATTTGTTTTATTATTTTATATAAAAATAATTTAACAATTCCTACACTGACAACTATCATCAAAACAAACACAATTTTACTTAATCCCCTCACTATCAATCCCCTCACCAACAATCCTCTCACTATGAATCCTCTCCATTCTACCTCTTAAAACAAACAGGCCTTAGAGAAAATATAGATGCTGCTCTAAAGTAGTAGTAGTTATTGGTTTAAACTATGTGATCTACTACTTTTATGTTAGAGTTTTTGGAGATAATTGATTAGGTGTCAATTTGTAAATGGAATAGAGTATTGCTCCAAAAGTATTGAATAGTTTTTTAACAAACATGATTTACAAGTTAGAGTTTTTTTTTTCAAATAATCCAAAAAAGGAAACTATTTAGTGAATTGACCCGCTTTTCAAACTATTTAGGAAACTAACCTATTTTTGAAATCGCATTTTGAAAATGCAATTTTGAAATTGCAATTGCATTTTCAACATGCGATTTCATATTGAAATCGCATGTTCAACATACAATTTCACCACGTCATCTTTTTCAACTTGCGATTTTAAGGTGAAATTGCATGTTCAAGATACAATTTCAATTTAAAAATCGTATTTTGAAAATGCAATTTTAAAAAGTAGGTTAGTTTCCTAAATAGTTTGAAAAGTGGATCAATTCTCTAATTAGTTTTTTTTTTTTGGAATATTTAAAAAAAAAAAAAAAAAAAAAAAAACTCTTACAAGTTAACTGTCCTTATCCATATAACTACCATTTTCTACCAAGTGTAAAGACCTCTGAACAAAGAGGCTACATATAACATACTCATAAGGGCACGTTTATGGATTGATAATTTAGGAGAGGAAGTGAAGGATTTGGAAGAGTAGAGTTACTTAACATTATGTGTCAACCTAGTTGGATATATTCTTCAAGAATACTGCTAGTTTTGCTTTGCTTTCTTATTTGATGTAATCTATTTGTACTTCTTAAAGTTTGATTTACATCAATAAATTTATTTTTGCCAATAAAAAAAATATATTATGTTTAATTTACTTTTAAGGGATATAACAGAAATATATGGAAAGTTATGAGGTAGAGAGAATACAAATATTTTAAACACTTCTCTTCCCCTTCAAAATTGGAATTGATGAAACAAAAAAGAAAATGAAATATTTCTTAATAATATTTTGTAAGACCTAATTAAATATTAACTAACCAAACAAGTGGGACGATACCTCTCCTCCCTTTCCTTAACCTTTCTTCCTTTCACACCCTCTTAACTGGCTTTTTCCTTCATTCTCCTCCGTCCAATCTATATGGAGTACAGAGGAAATAGTGGAACTTGAACAAAGGTTAGTGACCCAATGGATAGTATTTGGGCAAGTCCTGTCTTTGATCTATATATATGGGCTGGACCAGAGCTGAGTAGATATGTGGGCTCACCATGGGCTTACTCTAAAAATTTGATATGCTTCATAAAAAAAAAAATGAATTAATTAGATAATTGTAATTATTTGATTTTGTTACATTTATATTTAAAAAAAATTATGCAACAATGTTTTAATCATACTCGTATAATTTCATTATATTTATTTTCAAAAAATATGTAATTATGATTTTGAAAAAATATCATTAATTTTTTTTGATGATATATTTGATGAAATTATGTGGCTATGATTATCTAAATGATCTATTTTATTTTATGTATTTATTTTTTATGAATAACCAACCTATAGGAGCCTATAGGGTTAGTTTGTTTTTAGAGTTAAATTGAATGGGATTGTTGTATGAAAATTGTTAGTAAAGATATTATTAGCGTGGTGGGATCACTACAACAAAAAGCAGTTTTGGCGACCAAAAATGTAAATTTCGTCGCTGAAAGTAGGACAATTGGCGACTAAAATTGAATTAAAACAGTTTAGTAGCCAAATGTGTACTTATTGGCGACTAAAAATCACCAAACAAGTGGGACGATACCTCTCCTCCCTTTCCTTAACCTTTCTTCCTTTCACACCCTCTTAACTAGCTTTTTTCCTTCATTCTCCTCCGTCCAATCTATATGGAGTACAGAGGAAATAGTGGAACTTGAACTAAAACAAGAACAAAGATTAGTGACCCAAAGGACAGTATTTGGGCAATGTCTTTGATCTATATATATGGGCTGGACCAGAGCTGACTAGATAAGTGGGCTCACCATGGGCTTACTCTAAAAATTTGATATGTTTCATAAAAAAAATTGAATTAATTAGATAATTGTAATCACATGATTTTGTGGGCTTACTCCAAAAATTTGATGTGTTTCATAAGAAAAAATGAATTAATTAGATAATTGTAATTATTTGATTTTGTTACATTTATAATTAAAAAAAAATTATGCAACAATGTTTTAATCGTACTCATATAATTTCATTATATTTATTTTCAAAAAATATGTAATTATGATTTTGAAAAAATATCATTATTTTTTTTTTGATGATATATTTGATGAAATTATGTGGCTATGATTATCTAAATGATCTATTTTATTTTATTTATTTATTTTTTATGAATAAACAACCTATAGGAGCCTATAGGGTTAGTTTGTTTTTAGAGTTAGATTGAATGGGATTGTTGTATGAAAATTGTTAGTAAAGATATTATTAGCGTGGTGGGATTGTGTGAATGGATTAAAAAAAAAAATTGTGTTTACTTGATGATGATCGGACTAATAAGAATTCGTGTTTATTTTGACATTCAATAAGTAAAATAGTCAAGGGGTTGGATTTTCTCAAATTGGTCATCCAACTTGAAAAAGAATTTTGGCTTGGTAAGCTTGTTTTGGGGCTGATTCCGATGATTCAAATCATTCACTTTTTAGAACTTGTCGAGTGAAATATTTGGTGGTAAGCTTGTTTTGGAGGCGGGAGGCAACGGCAATGGCGCGACGGCGACGGCGGATCTGAAGAAGAGAGAGAGCAAAGAGAGGGAGGGTTTGGTTTATTTGGTTCGTGCGTGTATACCATATATATATATAGATATATGCCTGTTTTTTTTTTTTTTGGACCATTTTGCTTAATCATGTCTTTGTGAACATAAAAGTTCAGTTCATGGACTTTGGCAAAATAAAAAATAAAAAAAAATCAAAGTATATATATACCTAAATAATTAAACTAAAATTGTCACATATATTTATTAAGATATATTTTATGAAACGATAAAACTAAGATTATTCTTCTATGTCGTATACTTCGCAATACATATAAATATATATATAATTTCACTTAGGTAAACACAAATAATTTAACAGAAAATATTATATATGTTTATTTAAATAAAAATGTTGAAAATAATTTTATATTTATATATAAATATACATATGAATTAATTAATTAATTAAAATTTATAAAATATTATGTATAAAAAAATATAATTTAATTCGTACGTATAACCACTAATTTTTCAATTTGACCCTTAACGTTTGTTTTTGCTCCTTTGGTCCTTCATGTTTTAAGTTTTTTTAGTTCATTTCTAAAATTAATTTGTATTAAAAATTAGACAAAAAAGGATACATTGATAGTCACGTGATATAAAAATATTTTATTATATGTAATTCACATTTTTGACATAAACTTAAAATTTAATATAATAATATAATTTTTTTATCTTGTGTGGCAGTTATTATGACATTTGTTTGTTTAATTTTGAATAGAAATTAGTTTTAGAAATAAATTGAAAAAAATTTAAAACATAAAGAGTCAATGTGAGACAAAATAAACTTTAGAGATCAAAATATGAAAGTGACCAAATTTAAAGGGGACAAAATGTAATTTGCCAATTATAAAAATACAAGAACAACCAAGCCCTAGTTGTTCCTTATTGTCTACCTCTCTCTCTCTCTCTGTATCATTCCGTTCTATGCCCATTGTATTGAGCTAAGGCTTTTTTTAAGTTGGGAGCTAATTTAGCTACAAAAAGATAAATAGGATAAAAAGTAAACCATAATCATTTCACTTTTTCACTCATAAAAGTAAAAAAAAAAAAAAAAAAAAAAAAAACCAAAAAGCCAAACCCAAATAAACTTTTTAGCTTTAAGTTAAAAAAGTCAAAAAATCAACTCACTTCCCAAACGAATCCTGAATCTGAATATATGTGTCTGTAATTAAATAATTAAATAATTTTTTTGTATTCCACCAATGTCGAAACTGAGTTATTTGCAAAACTCTAAGCTTATACATGTCTATCGTCCTCAAGAAGACGCCATTTATTTAAACCAAAGTTGTTAATCACGTACCAGACAAAATATCATTTTTCAATTAGTAGGGTGTTTACTAGTATCAATATGTTACTAAGTACTGTTTCAGAGTTATTGCAAAAATATTGTATATGTATTGAAATATTATCTAGTAGCAAATAATTCAAGTATATAATATTATGAAGCACAAATTTATTTGTAGAAGAAGTTTAAACCATACCATGTCTGCTACATAATTGTTGGGAAGTTCAAATATGTAGTGACAAGGATGATTCTTAACATATTTGCTTTGTTATATGTATATATATATTGTATTAAAATACTATAAAATGCTATTATTTAACTACATATATTCATTTTTAATAAAATTCATAATTTTAGATTTGTCTTTTCGAGATCTTTAAATCGTTGCTTATATTGAATATATAAAATTCTAAAAAAAAAAAATTAATAAATAGACGAATGACAAAGCAACATGTAGAATTATTTTTGAAGCAAGTGAGGGGGGAGGGGGAAAACCCACGATAAGGCCGCTATGCATTTGGTAGCATTCAAACTATGGTCCATACAATAAAATTAGAATTTTTCTCACTACGTAGACTGAAAAACATGATTTTTTGGCCTTGTGTTTGATGATTTATGTAAAAAAAAAGAGAGTATAAATTGATAACCAATATATATATATATATATATTTTGTTGAGAAAATAAGCATGTGAAATAATCTACAAATGGATAGATCTCGAAAAAAAATAAAAATAAATTCAAAATGGACTACCAAATGCAACGTTGGTTGTTGGGTTAGTGGGCTGGTGATTTCGTTCCCATTATGGGGTTGGTCATTGTAGTTTTTTTACTTCATTTTATTTTCAATAACATTTGTCTTTGAACAATAATATGAGATTCTAAATGGTATTATATCACAAGTTATATACCCGCATCTTGTATAAAATATAACTATGGTGGTTATAATATTGTATTTTGTGTCATTTAGGTCATCAAAAATTTAATTTTGTTAATTTTATCTGTAAATTTTTTAATTTGAGTCAAATTGGTTTAATTTCAAATGACTCTAAATCATTAATAGAATATATATATTGTCCTAAAGGATGCATTTTGTGTCACTATGTGGTTCTTAGAGTTTTCAGTCTTACCAATTTCATCACTAGAACGTTGTAAGTTATGCTTCATCTTCTTTAATTATCATAGGTCATTTGCAGATTTTACGTTGAATCTTTATTTGAGGTGCCACATGGATGGTTCTGGTTTGGCAAGGTGTAATTGGATCATACCTATATTAAAGATAATCGGATGAGGACAAGAGTCTTAGATCATGACAGACTCTCTGTTTAAATAAGTGAGGATTCTTGAGAGAGTTAATTATAATCTAAATTGGATGAGTTCAAGATAAGTGTTATCCCCAAAAAGGATAGAATCTTATAAGTTCAAGATAAGCGTTATCTAATTATTTTTTTTGTTTGATTTAAAAAAGCTAATAATTTCTAACCAAGCTTCTCTCTTTAAATTTTTTTAATTGAGAACAACGGCGGTTCGGGCGGATTGGCGGTTTATAAAAAATATAATTCAAATTAAAAAACTTAAATCAAAGAGTAAAAAAAAGACGAGAGATACCGTGATGTTAAGCATCTTGCAAAACTTTCTTCTGATGCAGCAAGTGTAGCAACAGCATGATAATATCAACGACTATGCCATCAGTTCATTACAAACATCTGTGAAGCTACAATGATCAAATACAATAAATAAAATTAATATCATTCAGGGTTTACAATATATTGAAAATGTTTACTGTTGAAAAGTATTTAGATTGAAAAGTAAGCTGATGCAAGTTTGCAACATGGCCAGAAAAAAAAAAAAAAAAAAAGATTAAAAAGTGAATTGGGATCCAATTTTATTTTGGATTACTGATATCTTGAATTCCCTCCGAGCAGTAATGTAATACTATATTCTAAGGTATAGAACAACAAGCAAACTTAAGTAAAAAAGAATTTTTAGAATCTTATAAAACATGATTTAATAGCGGTACGGGTCGGTACGGTTTGGAAGAAAAATAGAAACCGACGAATTGATAAAAGTGTTACTAGAATTTACCATTTTTCTTACCAAAAACCGACGATTCAATTGACAAATAATAACGAATTTACCTTAGCGGTGCGGTTCGGTGCGATTTCGACGGTTTCCACGGTTTTGACGGTATTATGCACACCCTAGCTCCAAACCCTCTCATTCTCTCCCTCTCGCTTTCTGCGTGCGAGCTCTCGACTTCTCTTCAAGCATTGCCTTGATCGATCGCGCGACTTCTCATGGCCTCACAATGTATGTCATTCACTTTCTCTCCCAATCGATCAATTTTTCTGTCTCTCGATCATTTTTTCCCAAAAGCTTCGAATTCATCAATTTATTTGAAGTTAGGGTTCAGTGAGAGCCATGGAAATGTAGACTATGAAGCCAAATGCATTCTCAATCAATTGATCTCAAACCCTAACTGATCTCTACACACTCCTCTGTATCGAACGATTCGACCTCTCTGCAATCTCCTCTCTGATCGCGAACTTGAACCAGTTGAAGCAATTCATCGATGATTGCAAGTCCAATCCCTCAATTCTCTCCGATCTTTCTCTCTCCTTCTTCCGAGACTACCTTGAAAGGTATGATATAATTCGCTTTCATGTAGCTTGATTCAGAATTTTGATATTTTGTAACATGTATTATCTTATTAATGCTGAATTTTGCAGATGGGAGACTTTTCTATCGAGGTCATGGAAGAAAACCGTGATGCTTCGCAGGAGGCTAAGGTGCAGGGTATGGAAGCAATTTCTGAAAGCATTCTAATTTCATTACATGTACATACACACACGTGGATATATTGTAAACACATTTTTTCATAATTTGACTTTGATGGTTTTGGGTTGATTAGGGAAACTGGAGGAAGCAATAGAGCAGCTCACACAGGCTATTTTGCTCAATCCAACCTCAGCAATTATGTATTCAGGTTCTCTCATCGCGATCGCTTTGGCCGAAGTCTTCTTTGAAGAACTTTATCACGGTACCTTCTCTCTCTCTCTCTCTCTCTAGCTCTTATTTTCTGATTCTTACTTGTTGATTTTCGCTTGCATTTTGAGATTCCTATGATTTTTTGGTGGTTTAGTGGAGTGAATTGATGTTGAATTTGATATTCCTCGCCGAGATTCCTATGATTTTTCAATTCAATTTTTAATTTGTTATTAAATTGTTTAATTTGTTCCGGTGAGCCTTATTGTGTTGATGTTTACATTCTTTATCCTTTTTAGTTATTTAATTCTGTGTATTTACACTTACTTTTCTACTGATGCAGTGATGCACAAGAAAGAGTAGCATTACTTCTGATATCCATTGTCAGCATTAAGTGGATGACCATAATTCTCTCTCACTCTCTGTTTTTCTTTGATATCATTTGACGTTCTCAGTTCATTTTTCCTTGTGTTGGCTTTGGTTAATGCTACTACTGAATTTTCATCACTTGTATTCATTTCTGGCATTGAGACAAGGAGACCAATTCAACTAATTATATTCCTCATTTTTTTGTTAGAGAGGATGTTTTATTGCTTCACTGCGGATAAGGAATCAGAATGTGATGAATTATGTATTAGTTGAATCCCATCTCTCCTTTCCAGTCCATCGGGAATCATGGTTTCTGCTAAACCCCAAATCCTCTTGATGTTAAGCCTTTTGTCATTTCCATACATCTCTCCGACACTAACCCAATCATTTCTCTACCCGTTATAGTTCCATAATTATTGTCCTTGACTTTAATGTATCTACTTGAACACCATTATCCCCTCCCCTGTAGCCTACTAAAATGTTTATTGTATCTTAAGTTCGACTTGATAGTGTGGATTTTTTATGTGTGTCTTAGATAATGCAAGTTTGAGGTGAACTTTGTTTTTGGTTGATTGCATTCTGCAATAAGAAACTCATGAATTTTGATTTATTGCATTGAATTTCTGACCAATTTCTTACTTTATATTTACTTGCTGGAATTCATGAAATGAAGTTTGTTCTTGAAAAAGAAAATTTAATGCTAGTCTATTTCTTTGGATTGTGCTTCTGTGAAGAGGAGAAGGAAGAAAACTCGTTTTAGTTATTTCTATTAGCAATGGTATCAATGATAGGCTTTGTAAACTATTCTTAATATAGGCTTTGACGTTATTTAAAGGTCTAATATATAAGTCACCACCATATAGTGAAGAAAACTCTGCATTCTGCAAGTTTCTGATACTATTGTGTTTCAGCGTTGTTAATTATGATTTGTTTGGAAATATTGGAGAATACTGCTTATAGATTGTGGAACTGTTTTCATTTGGGAGGCTTGGTGCTTGTATTAATTGATTGGCACTGATTTCATGGGAACCTGTTATGTTCTGACGTCTTAATGGCTCCGAGGATGATCGAAATATGATATGATTGTTTGTTAGTAGTACTAATAGAAGATGGAACATAGACCTAAATCCAGCATTATATAAATTGGCTAGTTGGTGAATAAATGTTTCCATGAAACTGAATTCAGCGTTAAATTTAAAAATATCTACTTGAATAAATGTTTATTGTCTTGAATGACAAGTGCAAGTTACAGGAAGATTTATTCAAGTATCTACTTGAACTTGATTCGACTCATTATTGTGAGCCGAATAATTAAAGTGTTGTATCATTATAGGAAGATTGTTTCCCACAAGGCACAAACAGGAGAGGTAAGAGGGGAAGGGAGCATGGTTCCCTCCTCCTTCCACCCACTTTTGAGGGTAAAGCATATGGTAAACTCAAACAGAAAGATCCTTGCCCCTCTTTTCCTTTCCCCTCAGCTTTCCTTATAGGCCCTCCTCCCTTTCCCCTTTCCTTCCATCCAAATAATGAAATCTTTCCTTTCCCTCACTCTTCCCTCCTACCAGATGGACCCTTAAAGTGAATACTCAAACCTTTAGCACATGCAACATCAGAGACATTTAGATAGAATTGCAACTTTTTTTTCCCTTTTTCTTTTTGGGTACTGTTAGGCATTATTAAATGTAAATTCTAGATGTGATGCACCACACATACAATTCTATAAGCTGATTTTTCTTCTCTTAACTGAGTACAAGTAAGCTCTCTCTCTCCCTTGTGCTGGTGCTGGTGGTTGGGAGGACTATATTTTTATTTTATTTAATGAAGCGGTATTCAATATCGTATCATATGGTATTAGACACATCAATAGTGAGCTTATAGTTATAGCCTTATACGCAGACCCAGTACTAAATGAACACTGCAAATGAGTGAAGATGAGCAGTGGTTAAAGCACAATGATGTACAAAAGAAAAGTATAATTAACAATTGAACTTTTATCTAATTATGAATTAAATAGTATAACAAACTCATGCCTTTCACTTTATATGAAAATAACAGTACACAGGAAGCACCAAAAAAACACTATAGGTGAAGCATTTAAAAATTCAAAAGTAGCAAATTGTCATCATACTCATTGGTACAGTACATCAACTAATAATATTCTTAGGTCATGTTTGATTCACAAGATTAATAGTAAAGTATTAATAATCCGATTGAATTAGTGTAGTATTCACTATCTAATTGGATTAATATCCATTGGATTAATAATCCCACCCCTACCCCATTACTAATAATCCTACAAATTTGTTGGATTAATTATCCATTAGATTAATAATCCTAAACCAAAATATTAAAACAAACATAGGATAATTGGGTGCACGGATTAATAATCCCAATCCCATACTCTAATCCACCCAATCAAACATGCCCTTACAGTATAAAAAAAAAAATCTGAGTCTCCAAAGGAAAACAGTAACTGAAAAATATAAGGACAACAAACATAAGTGCCCCATTGTGAAAATCTCCATACACATACGTACCACTTTTCAATGAAGGCATTAAAGCCTCTAATCGAGTACACTCTTAGCAATACTGATGCTTATTTCCAGATGATCCAACAAGAGAAGCAGCTTCATCAGTTGTCAAGGAGTCTACATCTGCGAAAAGAACGATTCAATAAAAAGAGAACAAGAAGCAGCAGAAAATGAAGTAACTTATCATTAATTAGGAAACAGGAATCACCCACCATTTGATTCCAGTGACAGGGCACAATGTCATCATGTTCAAGATCTGACATGTCTTTTGCAAAACTAGGCTGATTGAAGATTTTACTTTAATTTTCTGTGGTCTTTGTGCAGGACCAGATAGATGAGTCCTAAACATCTTTCAAGCTGACCAGTCATTATCTTCACCCGGAGGAGGTGGGCTTTGAATGTCATTTGTTTGTGCTGACTAATTATGTGTTGATTGTGAATGGTTCCATGAAACTGATGTTCAATACTCCAACTTAAACTTGCTTTAAAATTTTTTAGTGATTTGCAATGCTCTGCTGAAAGTATTGGTTCCTATATTTGCAGTATTGTTGCATTTGATTCCAGTTCAAAATTACCACCCCTTTTTTCCCATAAATGAAAATCAAGGGTCATAAAAAAAAATGGAGTGATATTTAGATCTGAAATGTCCTTTGTAACTGCTTTATAACTTTCTCAAAAAAATAAAAAAGAAGAAAAAGATCTGATATTGTTTTGATCTGACATGTCTAACAGGTTTGTACAGTTATGGAGAACTGTAGATGAAAGCAATGATTATTGTTTTGATCTTTAAATTTCAATTGCTTAGAGCATGAATGTGATACAATTGGTAATTTTCTTCTTTATGTAGCAACAGTTGTACACAAGTACTATAATTAGTTCTATGATTTAGCTGAAGCATTATATGATTTTAGTTTATGAGCTTATTTCAAATCATATATTATGCATGAATAGTGCAGACTTTGAGGTGAAAGATTTTTATTTATGTTGCATCTTTGAGTTACTTTACCACAGGTCCATGTTTGAGGACATGGCCACCAATTGTTTGGTAAACTTCTGAATGCCTATTATCTTGTCAAACTATCCTATTAAACAGCGCTGGGTCAACACTCTTGGGGGCATAAACGAAAAGCTACTATCAAAGATAAAGGTGGAAACAAAAGAACTTATACAATGGAGGTTGAGGAAGAGGAGGAGACAGATGATGATGAACTGGTAAGACTTGTGTTACCTATCTGAAATGCACTAATCTGTGAGTATTTTATTATCCTTCCATAAGTTTCTCTGGCATGTTCTGTTATTAGATTAAGTTTTTTAACTCCATGCTTGCCTTTTGGAGTCAAGATTGCCCTTCAAAATATCCACCAAATGCACTGTACATAGATGGAGTTAAAACTGAAATATGTTAAATAGGTTTATTGATAAATACTAATAAATCTGGTGATTGTTTTGGTTGATTTTTGTTGGATGGATATTGGTATTAGCTCTTTGCCTTTCCAAGGATATCCACCACTTTATACATCACCATGAAGTCAAATTGCTTTCTCATAGTGTAAACTAACCTCCATCTCTTTGTGTTCCGCTTGCATATGTTGTTTAGGATACTGTTGAGATAGCCTCTGTCATCCATGCTATCTACGGTAGTTAATTTCTACTAGTTTATTTACATGTTCAATGCAATTATTGGTTGCTTCTTCATGTGGCTGTACTAATTATTTTAATAATTATTTAATGATCATAATGAATATAAAAAATCATAAATCACTTGCAATAATTAAAGATTTCCAATATGCTGCCACATTTCATGATCTCAACAAAATAGGAGTCCCTGTTTGGCTTGGGCTTAAAAAGCTGTTTTTTTTTTTTACTAAATAAGCCAAAAAGCAAAAACGCGGAACTCCACCCAAGTGTGGAAATGTTCAAATGTGTTTGGGTTAATTCAGGTATTTGCTGATAGTGCATTAGTGGAGCTGGCATTGTTGTCTAACTGGCCTTAATGATTTTCTCATGAGTAATGATGATTGTTTCATTGCTTGTTTCCTTTTATATATATATTTTTTCTACATTTCTTGGTGATATATGCCCACATTTATATTATTTCTCTGGTTTTACTTGTTGAGGTTGGCTCCTTATCAACCTTGGGGTCAATGTCAGCATAGAATTGGGTCATAGGATATCAGTCCCAATCTTCTTGACATCTTCAGTGAATCACTGATTGCTTTTTATGGGTAGGTCTTTGCTCTTCAATCTTCTTCTCATTCTCTCTCTCAAATCTCTCCCTCTCTCTGTTTTTCCATTCATTTTAACTCGGATCGCCCCTTTGATGGTTCAAAATGATTCATCTCTCTCTATATAACAATATACAATCCATCTCTTTTAGGTATTTTTTTTTTTCCTGATTAATGTTCTGTTTGCTTTCGAATTGCCATAGTTCTCTCTCTCTCTATTGCTTGTATGACATGTAACAGTGTGCTGTGCGATTTGCAGGATCTGCTACTATTCTTTGCCTTGATCCTGACTCAATCCATCACCTTTTGAGGTATGTATATATATATATATATATATGTTGTTGAAGCTATTGATTTTTTGTTTGTTTATTGAGTTTTTTTTGTTTTTGGCGATATCTTTTATTCTGGAATAGGATTGCTGGATTGGGAGTGGGAGTCTTCCTTCTTCTAGCTCGTAGAATCAGCGTGCCAAAGGTTGATTCTTGGAATGTAGTTTTGGTTGTAAAACAAAAGCCACCTTTTTTTTTTCTTTTTTTTTTTTTTTTTTTTTTTTTTTTTTTTTTTTTTAAGAATCTGATGCATCTATCTGCTTTTCTTTTCTTTTGTACTCTTTTTGTTTCCCATTCAAATTTTTTGGATCAATACATGTTTTCTTTGAAGGATGCAACTTTTTATTTTACTCGGTCTTGTGATCTGTAAGTTTTTGAATCATGTAAAATACCAATGATATATTCTTTGATTTGTTTCTGTTCTTTTATTTATGCAGGTTGTGTTTTTTTTTTTTTTCCCTCCCCAAGAAATTAGTAGGTGGAATTGTATATTTAAAGTCATATTTTGGAAATTAGTGAATCATATGATTTGGATACTTTTCTTGGTTTGTACGGTTGTGAGGTAGTTATTAGCTTGATATGATAGAAGTTGAGGATGGAAGCTAGTATGCAGGTTGTTTGGTGTGTGGATGTTAGTTTTTTTTCCTTAATTCATAGTTGCTGCTTCTGTTTGATATGTTCACAAGCTGCCGCACTTTATAAGCTACTGCGTTTGTTTGGAGGTACATAGGCTAGGCAAGGTTATGTTCTTGTGTGCAAATATATATATATATATTAAAAATAATTTTTTACGGCATGCAAAATTATGTCGTGAAAAGTATAATGATTTATGGCATGTAAGAAAATGTCGTAAAATATTATATATGACATACAAAGTATGTCATAAATATATTAAGAACAACTTTTTATGACAAAAAAAATTATGTTGTGAAAAGTGTAACGATTTATGGCATGCAAAAAAATGTCGTAAAAGATTATATACAGCATATAAAGTATGTTATAAATATATTAAAAATAATTTTTTACGACATGTAAAATTATGTTATGAAAAATATAATGATTTATAGTATGTAAAAATGTCGTAAAAAATTATATATGACATACAAAGTATGTCATTGATGTTTAATTTATTATTTTTTACAACTTTATCTGCATGTCGTAAATAACGATCAATTTTTCACGGCATGTCATATAATGACATTTGTGTGCATGTTGTGAAAGAGTTTTTACGACATGCATTGCAAGCTGTGAAAATTCAATTTTGTTGTAGTGTACTAGTCCGCTTATTCAATACCTTTCATAGTTTGTTAAGGCTATGAATCCAGTGGTCCATTTTGTAAACAAATATGATAATTGTGATTCTCACTTCACCATTAGTCCAATCCAAACTCTCATCTCTTAAAATAAACAAGGCCAAAAAATAAAAGTATTGATTCATCGAAATAAAGTTTGTGACGGGCTCATGAGACCGGATTACAAGTATTCAATCATAGATAGTGGACTGGTGATAAGTCAAACCTGTCCAAAAGGTTGTTATTAGACTTGACAAGCATACAAAAATATACATTAAAATGTGTTAAAAAATATATATTAATATGTAAAATAAGTAGGACTAATAAAATAGAGAAAACTTCCAAAAGTTCACAAGGTTGAGTTTGAATTTTATTAATAAAAGGTTTTTTTGGCCCAAATCATAATAAAAAATTACAAATTCGAGTCGGAAATAACTTAATTCCAAAAATAATAGGGTAAATTACAAACATGTAAATTGTAGACACACTCAATTTGAATTTTGAATTTTGAATTTCTTTAAATAAGATAAAAATAAAAATTTGAATTGTTATTTCTCCCGCTAATTTAATCATTATCTTTACTATAAAAGTGAGTGTTCTTTTAGAATTTTTATATTTAACATCAATTTCACATAATGACAAAACTAAAATTATTCTCGTGCATTGTTTATGTTGCAACAAAATTTTTAAAATAATTTAATGTGTTTGTACAAATATATATATATGAGATGATTATTGAAAAGTCCGAAGTAAGGAGGATATAAGGCATCAGGTTCCATGGATATTTTGTTAGTAAGAGGTTCACACTTTGTGAAATAGTTTGGTGATAAGTCTTTTTATTGGTTTTAAAGGACGTTTTATTTTCAATTTTACCACTTAATTTATCTGTTGACGTTTTTTTATCTGTTGATTTTCGTTGACTATCTGTTCAAATTTTTTGACTATCTATTCAAATTTCTTAACTATTTGTTCAATTTTTTCCCCTTATCTATTCAAAATTTTGCTATCTCTTAAAATTTACTACTTGATTTGTTGAATTTTTACACCAATCTTTTTTTTCTCTCTATCTGTTGAATTTATTCTGTTAAAATTTTTCTATCTGTTAAAATTTACCACCTGATCTGTTGAAATTTTTCTATTTGTTGAATTTTATTTGTTAAAAGAGAATGATCTGTTCAAATAACTTTTTCAAAAAATATCTGTTGAAATTATTTGTTAAAAACAATGTATTTGTGTGCAAATCTATCTGTTCAAATTCTCTCTATCTCTCTCTTGCCACTATCTGTACAAATAAAATTCAAATTCAACAACAGCCAGAACTATATAATAATAATAATAATAATAATAATAATAATAATAATAATAATAATAATAATAATAATAATAATAATAATTTGAACAGATGTAGAACAACAAAAAAAAGAAAAAATCTAGATCAGTCATAGACAACAACACATATCAACAACATAGTACGTACTGGCCAGTACAATATAAGATTGACAACATTGATTCAAACCCTATAGATATAATTATAATTTTACCCTTAGATATCAAGTTGATTTCTTTTTAGACTTTTGTCATTCAAGTTACGTATTCTACATAACAAAACATTGAATAAAAACTGATTTTTTTGTTTTTGTAAAGTTGTACTGTGCTCAACTAATGGTGTTTTGTGATTTGTTCAATATTTTTTATTTTTATTTTTTGGGATCACATTAGCATATAGTCCTTGTTTTTGGAAGTGTACACAACCAACATCATATTCCAGAAAGGCACAATAATTACTTGTGGCTTAGGCTTCTGATGTATTTTTCAAATCATATAACCTTTGTTTTTTGATAGGTACATTGCGGTTTTGATGGAAAAATCGCTCTACTTTGTGTTGCCGTCGTCGTCCTTGTTGTTGTTGTTTTTTTTTTTTTTCCCGATTTGTTTGTTCTAGGTATATAAGAGAAATTATATTTTGTCTTAAGTTGATAGCTGTATTGTAAAACTTTGTATTTCAATTCATGCGCATATTTAATTTCTCATTCCCAAAGTTCTTTAGAATTGACGAGCAGTACTATTGTACAATTTAAAAGGGTAAACAGAGGAAAAAAATCATGATCGATCAGTGGTAGAATAGAGAAGATATGAGTATGTGGGGGACAAGGTATTCCACTCCTGTAATATTAGGTTTAGTTACATGCTCTTTCTTTCATTACTATATGAATTTGTTTTGTACTTGTGATATCCATGTTCCGTAATATGTTAATTGGTTCTTAATATGAGTATGATTATGTGTTTAATATGATTTTGTGTGCCATTATGTGAAAATATGTGGTTTTGAATTTCTATCTGTTTACCGTAGGAATATCTGTTTGATTATCTGCTTTGGAAATTAAATTGAAGGCCTTATCGGCCACAGAACCCAAAATTGATTACGCCATTGTGATTAGCGTAATTTTTAGAGCCTACGGTGAAATTTAATTGAAAATTGATTCGGACCAGATTAACTTGATTAAATTGATGAATTAGTGCCCAATTATTTATTATTGTTAAATTGGTGCTAGTGGGAACTTATGTAAAGAGGCACTATACATTTAATTGATACACTTGAGCTCAAAAATCAGATTTTGTGCCTTGAGAGAGAGAGGGCCAGCTATAGAGAGAGAAAGAGAGAAGAATTGTGTTTGGCTCAAGTTTGTGAAGAATTGGAGGATTAAACTCAAGATTTTGCTATAGATTGGGAGAATTAAACTCCTAGGTGAGTATTTCATGGATTCTAGTTGTAATTTTGTGTATTCAAGCTAGTTGGGTAATCAAGAGTAAGTTTGACATGAAATTGGGTTAGTTTTGTTGAATTGAAGGTCAATGTATGCATGCATGTGTGTAATTGCTTTGGATTTGCATGTTTGACCACAAAATGTATGATCCATGTAAGATTTTGGTTAGAATTCATGTTTGTGATCACCATTTGCACCACTTGAGTTGATAAGGAGAGTTATATCTCACATGCATGTACAATTTATAAGAATATGAGCTTGAATGCATATGAAATTGATATGTTGAAGGTGAATTTGGTGTAGATTGGGACATGCATGTGATTAATTGGTGAAATTGAGCTTCATTGGGTTGTAATTTGGGATTTATACCATGTTAGTACAAGTATATTTGAAGTTTGAGCTATTACATGCAAGAAATGTTGGATGGAATGTTGAATTGAAGCTCAAGAACATGTTCTGGGTTATCCAGAATTTTGATGTCTACTCAAGCGGGAAAACCGCCGCTCGAGCGTGAATTTCGTGCTCCCAGTATTTTTGCAGAGTCCGCTCAAGCAGGGTAATTTCACGCTCGAGCGGGGAGCCATATAGTGAGGCCTTCCGCTTGAGCGCTGGACTTCAAGCTCGAGCGTAATTTTGATGCATCCAGTACTTTTACAGGCCTTAAGGGTACGCTCGAGCGGGGAAGTCCACGCTCGAGCGGGGACCCTGTTTTCTGAAATTTTGAAAAGACATTCTGTGTTTCATTTTCTGTTCTCTTTCACTTCCAAGTACTCTTAGGCATGCATTGAGCATTGTAATTGAGTTAAAGAGATAAGAATGAAACCTAAAGAGGAAAATGTGAATTTAGAACGGATCGAATTGTTTGTGACCCTTTTTGTGTTCATGGAATGTGTAGGGTCGAGCTCTAGGGCAAACCAACCAACCGATCACTGTGAGTAATATCCTAATAGAGATATCTGAAATATGTTGTTGTCCAATTGCTTACTTCTATGTAAGTTTTATAAGTTCATTGATTCGATTGGTGGAGAATATTTGCCATACCAAATGAGTGGGCTAGAGGCCAGTCTGATCTGAATAATAGAATGAATGGGCCGGAGGCCGTTTCGACATAAATGGGCTGGAGGGTGTTTTGACATGAATGAATGGGCCAAAGGCGAGTTTGTCATCTGAATGGGCCAAAGGCCGTTTCAACACAAATGAAAGTTTGAATGGGCCAAAGGCCGTTTGACGCAAATGAAAGTTTAAATGGGCCAAAGGCCAGTTTGTTTGGAACCGCAATCACTTGACCTAAATTGTGTATATATGTTAAATAGAAATATAAATTGGGCCCAAAGTCGTTTGAAGCATGTTGTTCTACATAT